CAATTTCCTACCAGCCAAGAAAAATCTGCTTCTCTCAGCTAGGAATTCCTAGAGAGGTTTATAATATTTTAGACTTTATGTTTCATATTTTGCATTGTTATCCCTTGTGTTTTTATTGAAATGTGATGTGCACGTGCCATGCGATAAATAAATAAATCCTAGAGAGGTATCTTGGGATCTTTAAAAGGACATTAAAACCATGCAAGCTTGCAGGAGGCTTCTTATTGAACGTAGTGTGAGTTGCTGTGCTAGTTTTGCCTCATTATTAGAAGGAAAAACGTAATTGCTAGTGCTTCTCAAATGACTTCCCATGAGAAAACTGCTAATTCTGTGAGCCAAAAGCATCTCTTCTTAGAGGAGATGTTTCACTGTAACAGATTCACTATGCTGACTGTCTCAGTGCAATTACTTGCTGGTGCTCAGTAATTTTGCTGCATCTGCACAAATGTGATGTCATCAAAATCTAGGGATATATATGAGAATGATGTGCCTTGGGGAAAAAATGGCTTGTTTCTGTTCTGAAGAATGGAAAAGGAAAACAGGCACTAAAAAGAGCAGAACACCCCAACTGTCAATAAAAAAAATAGTCAGATAAACATGATTTTTGGCACTTGGGATTCTTCCCTCTCTCCATCATTTGTTGCCTGAGTGACTGGCTAGTGATCTACTTAAATCAGTGGCTCATGTAGATACGCACTCCTTAAAACTGTGCAAATCTTTTTTTTTTTTTAATCCAAAAGCCTTACAGTAGAACCTCTGGTCACGAACACTTCTGACCACAACCAAATCGGGTTCCAACCAAAAAATTCACAACATTTTTGAATCGGGTCACGATTCAAAAATCGGGTGGCGATCAAACATGGCTGTGGCTGATTTCCTTTTCCACACCATTTTTTTTTTTAGTAGGCGCATGCTCAGTCAGTCTCGCTTCAGGTCACGACCAAATCGGGTTGTGACCGAAGTTACGGAATGAATTAAGGTTGTGACCAGAGGTTCTACTGTATTTGGGGAAGGGATGGAAGCCCTTTAACCATTTTCTTTTTTCTTTCAGTTGTTGAACGTATGGGGGTCTGTGCATCCATGTACAGCCGTTCTATCCAGGGCCATCATGTCTGCCTACTCGTGAAAAAGGTGAATCCAAAAACCAAGCTCAAAGTACAAAATTGCGCAACCGATATGTGGTGATAGCATTACCAGATGTTTAATCAGTCAGTTACAAATAATAAAGCGTAATAGGACACTGTCCCATCATGCTTATGATGCAATTGCAGAAACCAGATATTTTAATCACAGGCATTCCCTAGTAGGTAGTGACTTTTCTCGTCTCTAGATTTTATTACTTCCACAATAAAATTAAAATATCTAAGTAGTCCTCACTTAATGACTCTAATTCAAAATGGCAACTCTCTCGCTAAGTAGGTGATGTGATTGGAAAGCAGAAAGTCACATGACCGTGCCAACTTACAATGGAAGTTTTGGCACTTCCGATTGCATTTGTTCAGCGAATCCCGCATGCGGGGATTTAAATGAGACATCACATGACTGACTTGCAACCTTTTGCCAGCTTTGCCATTGAAATCTGGAATCTGTTGGAATCTGGCTATTAGGCTTACAAAAGGTGATCACCTGTCAGCTCTCCCAGGTAAACCAAACAGGACAAACTAGTTCTACTTTATGGTGTGGTTACATTATCAGTATCCTGCAAGTCTGAAAGTACAAACTCCCCCCTGCCACTTGAACGATTAGGATCAATCCTTACTAAGATTCCTTTTCTGACCATTAGGCCACTGGGGGCTCCTGCTTCTCATGACTGGTTTGTTTCCTGGGTAGCATTTCTTCCCCTCTTTCCTCAAGGCCACCCACAGATTTCATCACGTCACATGACCACAGGCATCTGCAAGCATCATAACATGTGCAAAGATTGCCAAGCACCCAAGTCATGATCACAACTTCAAGGACTGGATGTAAATCCCTTTTTCCAGCACAGTCATAACTTTGAATGATCCCTAAACAAATGGTCATTAAGTGAGGTCTATCTATACTCTTAATAACATCCTTGGTTAGAATATCAGTATTAAATAATAAATCAGTTCCAACAATTAATGCAAAAGAAATTGTTTAATTTTTTGGAATTGACACAATAGGGGCTGCTCTTGTAATTTACTCAGTATTTGCAGTAATACTTATATGCATCTACTTCTTTAAACACACCATTTACGGAACGCAAGGAAGATAGCCATCAGGTGACCGGTAGTGGCATTAGTAGCATTGTATATTTTGTCTACTTCCAACTTGGATTTGCTTTATAAAGAGAAGAAGTAAGTTAAATCTTGTCTGTTTAACACCTCTCTCAATCTGACTCCCTGCTAAAGCCATAATGAAGTTGCTTCCTAACAGACAGGTAAATATTGACATCTCCTCGTAAGAATAGGAGAAAAGAACAAACATGATTCAGTTCCCAGGCAGATGAGAAGAAAGATGATTATGAGAAACAGATTGATCTAGTGATTAAGCCACCAGGCTTGAAATGGGGGAAACTAGTTTTAGTTCTCATTTTAGGCATGAAAACCGGTTGACTGACTTTGAGCTAATCACCAGGAGGCAGTGAGTTCTAGTCCCACTTTAGGCATGAAAACTGGCCAGTGACTTTAAGCCAGTCTCTCTCTCACAGCCCAACTCACCTGACAAGGTACTTGTTGTGAGGCAAATAGGAGGAGGAAGATGCATTGGATGTAATAAAGGGATACAAACAAAGAGTCAAGAATCATGCTACCTAACCCTAAAAAGTATTTTTTCTCTCTCTCTCTCTCTCTCTTCCCCCCCTCCGCCCCTTCAATGCATCCTTTGGCAGGGAGAAAACTCTGTGTCCATTGATGGAAAATGCGATGATTCAACCTTATTGGGAAATCTGTTGTCAGAATTCAAAGAAACCCTGTCAAAATGCTGAATACTCTTGGAATCGGGCACAGCCCTTCGTCCTTCTGGCCCCCCCAGATGAGCAGCATCCCAAGGCTCATGGACTGAAACCAGTGGAGCATTCGATTTTTCTCCCTCTGTGCGCATGTTTGATCTCCCAGGGCATGTGTTTTCCATTTCTTCCTCCCTCCTGGGTTGTTGTGTTCGTTCTATTTTTGTTTTAATTTTCTTGCGGTTTACACATCTTAGAACTTGTGCTCTCCTCTGTTTGGAACGGTCCGACCATAGCAAAGAGATCCCCGATTGGCATCCTGGCCAGGAGAAAACGGGGTAGAGGAGATACAGAGTCCATATTGGAAACCCAACAGCATCCCTGGGTCTGCTTGCACCTCTCCCGGTGTGAGAGCAGGTAAATTCCATTCCTCGTTTTAAACTGCCCGCGCTTAAAAAGGAGAAAAACGTCAGGATGTCCCTCCTCTGCAACCAATTTGGATGCATCTTCCCTCCTTCCCTACGGTTGTTCCAGAGCATTTCCTGCTGCCCGAGGCTGGGATTGGTTAATCCTCTCTCATCAGGATGGGCTCCCACAGGAATGTTTGAAGCCCAATGCAATATATCATTTCTGAAATTAACAAAAGGTACCCTAATTAGAAGTCCAAAGTCATTGTGTCTGTGTAGATTTGGGGGTTTTGTGGTTATTTTTTCTTTCTTCTATGTTTAGGTTGAACAATCCTACAGTGGGGCCAATCTGCCATGCCCAGCTTTTACAAAGCCTAAGC